GCATAGTCCAGCATTCCTTGCTTCGCTGCTGCATTCTCTTGGCATTATGCGCGCCTGCACCTCGGCTTTCCTCGGCTTCCTCTGTCTGTACTTAGGATTGTGTCGATTAGGGTGTAAAAATGCCTACATTTCGACTGCTTTGTGTGAGGTACCGCCATACGTGCTTTTTTCCCCCTTGTTTTTTTTTGTTTTGTTTTGGGGGGTTTTAAATACCGTAATGGCGTATGACGGAGTCTCACACCGAAAGGTCGATGTAATGTGTTTCTCTGCCTGTAATAGTTTTGTTGTATTAAGATAGCTGCCCTGCCTTGAGATATATCACATCCAATGTTCAGGGCTGATCATAAGGATAAACACATTTCTTATATATCCAAAAGTCCTACTTTACCTTACCACTCAGGAACGTGGTTGTCTTAAGATACGAAGACAGATTTGACTTCGTTGTTTTGAGATGTGAAGACATATTTGATTTCGTTGTCTTGAGATTTGAAGATAGAATTGACTTCTTTGTCTAATGTGACATTGTGTTCGGGGGTTATTTCATAGATAAAGACTATTTATCCGTTTTTACTTTTCCACTCTGCAACTCTTAGATAGCCATATCTCATCTGGCCAAACCCTGTTTTTAGCTCCAGTATTCTTGATTTGATTTAATATTTCCTATTTAGTTCTAAATGAGGTGCTTGATCCAAGCTCTCACTTTGATGGTATCAGACGTAAAGCTAACCTGCAATCTTTTATCTCTTTGGGATGAAACTTGGCGCTTGCCTGCAATCTCACAAGGTATAATCTTTGATTTCTGCAGACTAGAAGCAGAGTATAATAAGTTTCTATTGATTCTTAAATGGTCACAGTGGTATAATATCAGCTGAGGACTGATGTCGCTGAACGCAAAAGAAAAGCCCCTTCAATTTGAGATTTAAACCTTTCATACTTGTTACCGTTTCTAATTGTAAATGGGTGTGTTAGAAATGTGTTAGCTAACTAGCAAGTTTTGCACGTAATATTGTTAACTAACTGTTAGGGTTTAATAAACTGTTAACGTGTTAGTTAACTAGTAAGATTTATGCTGTGTTAGTTATGTATTATCTAACTCTGTGTGTGTGTGTGTGTGTGTGC